AGTGTGCAAATTTCTCATTGGGTTTTAGGGATATTGGACTCAACCAACTTATATTAGCAATGTGTATCTCAACCTCTTTCCCTGAATATGTGACAGTGCTTTGTTTTCTTTCCATTCCTGCCTTTTTTCAGCTATATTTTCAAAGCATACTGAAAACAATGTTTAAAGCTACAGTATATTCTAATTCCAATGTTTCTGTTACTTTATCGTACTTATATTTTCAAATAGTGCTGTGTCGATAAAATCGATTCTCTGATTCTTAGTCAATTCTCATAATAATTCCTCAAGATCGATTTCTGCCCTTTTTACAGCTAAAATAGAAAAAAAAAAGTCCAGACAGGCATTTTGAGGCTTAGATGTTAAAGGGTTAATATCTTTAATCACGCGCATTGTGAATTCAATGACGGGACAGTAGGTGATGATATAGTTCACCGGGGAAAACTTTATTAACAACATGGCGTCGGACACTAGCGATGCTTTGAAAACGCCCGTAACTTTAAAAGCAGCGGTCTGGCAGCATTTCTTGTTCAGAACGGACAAACAGACAGATGAGCTTGACAAAAGGAAAGCGATTTGCAAGGCATGCCAAATGGAGGTGAAGTATTCCGGAAATACGTCCTGGATCTGTTCGGTAATTCTGCCCAACAGCATGTTTGTGAAAGCAATTGTATCAACATTCTGGGAGGGGGATTGGACTTGGTCCATACAGCCATCTTTAACTAACAATACTTCATTAATTTGTTGTTGAATGTCAATATAATACTAGTATTAATATGTTGCACAATTACACAGTCATGTAATTAAGGTAACAGCTAAAAAAAAAACTGACCAAATCGATATCGGATCGGAAAACAGATTGGATTAAATCGTGATAGTCGATTCTAAATCTTGAGAATCGGTATCGAATCGATTCTTGAAATCTGAATTGATACCCAGCACTATTTTCAAATATAGGAACATACAAAATACAGGAATGGTTAGAACAAATGTAAAATGAAAAAAAGTATATCTTATGAAAATTTACTGTTATATCACAAAGCATTGTGGGTAGTGTAAGTTTCACTGTCTCTGGTGAGTACAACGCCATGGCTCCTGTTCTGTATTCTGAGTACAATATGTTTAGTTATTCTTCTCCAGTCATTAGTAAAAGTAATAAAGTAAGCGTAAATAATCAGAGATCACCAAGTCAAATTTTATAGAGGTGTGCAACCTTGTGAAGAAGATGTGTGTGTCAGTAACGTGCTTTTGCCCCATCCCTGCTAGGTGTGGTGATGAAACGTACAGCAGATTATCATCCCTACATAGCTGGCTTTCGGAATGGTGCCTGATAAATGGTGTGGGTTATATAGACAACTGGCAAACGTTTTGGAGTAGACCTGGGCTTTCGAAGAGGGACAATATTCACCCCTCTTGGGCTGGTGCCGACCTCCTGTCCAAAAGTATAGCTCACAGCCTCAAGGCAAATCACTGACTAGCTAGAGCCAAGTCTAGGCAGCAGGCAAACTGGCATAACTGACCGCCTGTGGGTCCCTTGGAATCGTCACCTAGGGTTCATGTTATTGGGACTGTGTCTGTTCCCTGCACTTTTAATCATGGAAGCCTATTCCACCGTAGTGTCATAATAACTTAATAAAAATTACAATGAATCCATTACTAAATAATCAGTATTTCTTCCCAAGGAAGAACGAAATAAGTTTCACCACCTCAACATTGGTGGCCTTCCTACACAACCTAATACAGTGGTCAGAAATCTTGGTTTTCTAGTTGATTCAGATCTATGTTTCGATGCTCACATAAGAAGCATTACTAGAACTGCGTTTTATCATCTACGGAACATAGCCAAGCTTCGTAAGATGCTCGCACTTCATGATGCAGAAAAATTAATACATGCCTTTATAACTTCCAGACTGGACTACTGTAATGCCCTCCTTTCTGGTTGCCCATCTAGATCCTTACATAAATTTCAGCTGGTGCAGAATGCAGCAGCCAGAGTTCTCACAAACATTAAAAAATTTGATCACATTAGCCCTGTCTTACCCTCCCTTCACTGGCTTCCAATTAAGTCTTGGATTGACTATAAAATACTGCTATTGACTTATAAAGCACTGAATGGCCTTGCACCGGAATAACTTAGTGAGATGCTGGCCTCATACAAACCTCCGCACTTGTTTTCTCAAGGCGCAGGATTTCCTCTTAGTACCTAGGGTAGAAAGAGCTACAGCAGGCTGCAGAGCTTTCTCCTATAGAGCTCCTCAGATGTGGAATGATCTTCCACCAGATGTGCAGGATTCAGGCTCACTTTCATAAAAAAAAGGCTACCTGGTACCTTGGGCGGAGCTTAACCCTCTGGGTTCCTACGACGCCGCAGAAACAGCGGGGTCAAGGCAGCCATTATCCCATTATCCCGCAACGGAGCAAACCCAACATGCATCCTCCCAGTTCAAAAGTTGCGCATCAACTGACTGTCCGCGGGGGCAGCACTCACGCAGACATCCCATTTCAAAATGGTGGCACCAACGGTGCACCTGTTATTTTAAATAAAAATCGTTATGGTTAAAGGGGTTTAAGTAATGAAGCACTTTTCTGCCAATGTGAATAACAAAATAAAACAGCCTAAGCATTTCGACAAGAAAAATCAAGGAATAACGTGGCTCTCGCTCTCTCCCTGTCGCGCTTTTGCGTAGAGCCACAATCCCCACACACCACTATCATTTATTGAAAACAGCTGAAGCAACTAGTTTTCTGAATTTTAAAGTGTGTATATAATAAGTAAATGTGTGTAAAATAAGTATAAGATGTGTTATAAAGCATATAGCCAACAATAATTAATAAATAATTTAAGCATAATATCCCACATACACCCTGGCCTATAGCTGGTAGAAATGGTGCTATCCTGTGGTCTACAAGAGAAAAGCATATGGTACCAAAGCAGGTTCAATAGACTTTAAAAGAATAAAATTCATGAATTTATTAATGTACTGGTTTAAATGCATTTTGAGGAAAATACAACTTTTAACGGCTTAATTTTAACGGGATCACCAGAAGCGTCCAACTTTCTAGCTAGAGAGGAAAGAGGGTCTGGCAGTTTTAAGTGGTAAAAGCAGTAGCTGTGTATTGTTAACGGGGTGGTTTTAAACAAAATACACTATTTCACATCGGTAAAAACACAGCCATCCTGTTTTTAGGGGGGGGATTTATGCGTATTGCATGTCGGTCAGCTAATGGTCACAGTGGGGGAACGGGGTGTTGGCGCAAGAGCTTTTGGAGTCGTGAGCCCATGAGAAGGAAGCATCAATGAAACAAAATGGTTCCCCGCTCGCCTGCCTGCACGGACGTGACAGCTACAGTATATACTTCAAAAAAATTTTTTAACTTTGGTAGAATAATACCTTAGTTATTTTAATAATTGAAGGGATTAACCCTGTCAGCACAAGTACGTCGGCAATACGTCGCATAAACGGCGGATGGTCGCAATTAGATCGCGTTCTGTTACGAAGCATCGCGTTTTATTCGCGAAAACGTCGGATCGTCGCGGTGTTGAAAAGCGTTGCTCGCTTAAACGTCGGATCGTCGCTTTTAAGTCGAAGGTCGCTTTTTGGTAGGGAAAACTACGCATCACGTCGGATCTTTTTTAGAAAAGGGTTTGTTTGACTCTGGAAGTATAGTAATATTACTGTAATAATATTTAATGTAGTGATATTACTTGTCATATAGGGTATGGTATGATTTACATAGCTATTTTATATACTGGACATTAAATGTTTCTTAATTATTATAGATAATTATGTTTAAAGATATCCTGTTTATATGACTGTATTTTAAATGAGTGCACACTTGTATGCATGAGGATCTATTGAGAGATGTCCCACTGTGAGTGAAGACTTGACAATGTGCTGCTGTGTCTCTGATATCTGATGTGTGTCCTTAATTATCACCAAATCCATAAAAAAACTGATATATGAACATGAGCAACTTGTGTAGTGATTTAATTATTGCACTTGTTCATTTTGGGAACTATATTTGTTTACACTTCCATACATGTTTTACAGTTAAAATAATTACATTACATGAAGTCTACATTTCAAAAACACAATTAGGCTGGATTTCTTTGCAAAACAATTTAGTTGTATTTATAGTTATAAATGTAATTGCACATGTTCGATTTATAGCATACCATATCATGACCGCAAACAGTATGCTATAGCATGCAATTTCAGATTTTTACCAAACTTGTTATTGTCTTTGGATTGTTTGTTTGCCTCTTGAAAAAAGAACATCGCTACGAATGTACTAAAATATTTTATAAAGCTTCTAATGTGGTTTGACTAGTTCGTGTTTCTTGTTTGTCTCTCGGAAAAAATCTCACTCCAAATCTGCTAAAATATAAAAGCGACAACGTTAAGCAGCCTGTTCATGGAGGCAACCATGTTTATTCAAGAGCGCCTGGCTGCAGACACTGTAGGTGTGGAGCTCCACAGTAAGCGGAGACACGTGATCTCCACAGTAGGCGGAAACACGTCACCGCCACAGTAGGCGGAAACACGTGATCTGCATAGATTCAGTGGAAACCGCGCAGGTTAGGGTTAGAGTTAGGGTTAGGGTTAGGGCTCAGCATCATCAACAGTAACAAAAACGCAATTTAGTTTTCGCTGTCAAAAACATTTCTCGTGCGACGTAACTGTGTTCAAATTTGAAGTCATGTGTTTCCGCCTACTGTGGAGCTCCACATTGGCTGCAGCCGAGAGCGTCATTTCCGGGCCCACAGTAGACTTCCTGCCTGTAAGTGGCTAAAAACTCTCAGTGTATGTTTGTAGCCAGAGACTTCGTTTTTTCCCGCTCAGAGTCTTCGTTTGTCCCAGTCGCCGATAAGTGAGGTAAGTTTTTACCATTGTTCTTAATTTTGTGTGTGTGTGGAAGAAAATGGATCGTGTTTTAAAACATATTTTGTTCCCTGTTAAACCAGCTTTAAAAGAGAAACAGAGAAACAGAAAAAAGAAAAGTCTATTTCGTCGCGTACGATTAGTTAGAAAGGTAGGCTGAAAATCATTTCTTTCTTAAATAAATAGTTTCAGAATGATCTAAATGAGTTTCTTTTTGTTTTTGATGATACAAATTAATGTTAACAATCGTGTTTTGATTATTTATTGTTACAAACTTTTTATCGCACTTACCACACGGAAAAGGCTAAACTACTTCGGTGTGTCCGAGCAAAGGAGACACCAAACGAATGTGCAGGATGGACACAGCACAGGGCTCAGGTCCTTTATTTTATTATTTGCCAGGATGGGGATGTTTTTGTCAGTATAAGCTTACTAAAACTTACCAGGGTACATATTCTTGCTCTTAATCTGACTCCGTATTCTTGCTCTTAATGTATAGATTCTCTGGACAAGGTTGTTCGAAAATGGAGCACATCTTGTGATACTTCGGATTTAAATTCTGATCAGGAATCATGCAGGAAATCCAAGTAAGTAAAGAAGTTTGTCACACATGACAATTTTGATGTATTGGGTTAATTTGCAGAACTAATTTGTTGTTTTGTTGATGTACTTCCAGACCTAAAAAGCAATTTGCCTTGTTGGACAGTTCTCCACTGAGGAAACGTCACTAGGCTTACTCTCAGAGCGGGAATACTTTTAACAGAAAGAGGAAATTAGCGTTCCTGCCACCACCACCAACACCTCCACCAGCACATCAACCTTGTCTCACACACCACTTCCAAGGTACAAAGATGAACATCATTTTACTGAATTACTCGGTTACATAATCCAAATGCTTACCACTGTTTTGTTTCTGTTTTATCCTCAACAAAAGCAGATCTAGTTTCTCCGGGACCATCCAACACACTGAATAGGATGACGACGAAATGCATGAAATCGTATGTAGTGTACAGCAACATAGT